CCATCACCACCACCATCACCACCACCATCACCATCACCACCACCATCATCACCATCACCATTATCATCACCACCATCACCACCACCATCACCATCACCACCATCACCATCACCATCATCATCACCACCATCACCACCACCATCACCACCACCATCACCATCACCACCACCATCATCACCACCACCATCATCACCATCACCACCACCATCATCACCACCACCATCATCACCATCACCATCATCACCATCATCATCACCACCATCCCCACCACCATCACCACCACCATCACCATCACCACCACCATCACCATCACCACCACCATCACCATCACCACCACCATCACCATCACCACCACCATCACCATCACCACCACCATCACCATCACCACCACCATCACCATCACCACCACCATCACCATCACCACCACCATCACCATCACCACCACCATCACCATCACCACCACCATCACCATCACCACCACCATCACCATCACCACCACCATCACCATCACCACCACCATCACCATCACCACCACCATCACCATCACCACCACCATCACCATCACCACCACCATCACCATCACCACCACCATCACCATCACCACCACCATCACCATCACCACCACCATCACCATCACCACCACCATCACCATCACCACCACCATCACCATCACCACCACCATCACCATCACCACCACCATCACCATCACCACCACCATCACCATCACCACCACCATCACCATCACCACCACCATCACCATCACCACCACCATCACCATCACTGTGATCACCATCATCATCATCATCATCACCATCACCTTCATCATCAACATCATCATCACCACCAACATCATCATTACCATCATCACCACCATCACCATCATCATCGGCAGCAGAGTTGGATAAGGCTCCCAAACAGTCACGTTAACCCCATTGTCTTAGGAATTAGGAAAGTGAGGGGAAAAGGGATGTGTCCAACACAGCACTGCCTTCCCCAGAAGGTTATTGGGAACAAATCAGCAAACTCTTATTGAGCATCTATCTGGTTAGGGGGAGACAGTCTGCGGTTCCTCCTCAAGGCTCAGTCCTCAGCTGCTCTCTTTTGTCTCCCTGCTTGCTCTCCAGATCTGTCAGATGAGCTTCAATTCCCATCTCTCTCTGCCAAGGATGCTCGACCCCACCTCTCCCCACCTCTCCAGACTTGCTCATCTAAAGGCTGCTCAACATCTACACTCCAGCATCTCAAGCTTCAAAAACAGGCCACACACAGAACTCATCCTGGGCCCCCATCTGTTCTCACTTCCAGTGGCGGAAAACCCTGGTGGGTTGGCTGTAACTTCTCTAAGCCTCACCTGCCCCTGAGATTAAGCTACTAGGGCCATCCTGGACCACCCCTCGCCATTGGCATCCCCCACCCGGCTTTATCACTGCCAGGAATGTTAATGTTTGCTTTATTATCTATTTATAACTTATTATTCTAGCCAGGGTGGAAGGTTGCCAAGGGAGAGCTGCTGGGTTCCAGGCACACTGGCCCTGTGGCTGACGCTGCTGCACCAGTGGAGGAAGGGGCCTGATGAAGGCCCCTGAGGGAACAGGAGACCCCTGTGGCCTTGGAGAGTGCAGTCTCATTAGGTAAAATAACACCCTTGGAATCACATACACGTTTGCAAACCAGGACCTGGACAAATAAGCATGCGACATCCAGATGGCAGGAGTAGCTGACGAGGCGCAGCGGGGAGTCCTGGAGCAGGAGGAAGGATAAGACTGGTGGGAGGAGGACCGGGATCCTGATGGAGCAGGGCAGGGGCAGCACAGGTGGGCAGAGAGGAGCTGTCTGGCTCCCCAGCGGGAGCCAACAGGCATTTGTCAACAGAGAACTCAATTCAGCTTCTCAGGCCACGTCGATGAGACAGTAACTTAGTGAAGATCAACTCAGGGGAGGTACAGGGTGGCAGGAGGGTGGCCTGGTTTATGGGGAGAGGCTGCTGTCCCGGAGGCAGGGAGGACAGAGCAGTGCCACTCCCACCTAGTGTGTTGAGGGCTGATCTGGGGACACTGGGTGCAGGGAAAGGAAGCACAGGCAGTCCCTGCTCAGAGGAGTGCAGCAAACCCTTTGAGACCAAGTGCACGGAGTGTTGGCACCTGACGTCCACAGCCCGGACACAGTGCCATGGGACACCAGTGTTGCTCACAAACACACATACCATGTACACTCGCACAAGTGTGAGTGCACAGACACGTGCATGCACGCAAACACACACATGCAGGTGCACACACACAAACACATGCACTCATGCACATATATGAACGCACACATGCAGGCACACACACATGCATGTGTGTGCACTACATGTGTACATTCACACATGTGCAAGTACACAAACATGCGTGCAGGCACACGCATACGCAGGCACACACTCATACACGCACACATGCAGCATGCACGTACACTCTGCTCCTGTCACTGTTAGAGTCACACTCTTCCTGAGAGAGGACCTGAAGGTCCTGCCTGCACACCTTGGCCCGCAGTGGAACAACTGTGCCGAGATGCCAAGATAACAAAAGCAAAGCTGCAGCCTTCTCTCCCGGGTTCTGCAATCCTGACCTCACACTTCCATTGACTTTCCAGCTGGCCTGGAGTGCTGGAAAGGGGTTCGGAATCCTCTGCCGTGCGGCTCACCAGTGGTGGAGCCACTGGCGGGGCACCACACCTCTCAGCTCTTTCCTCAGCTGTAAAGCATGGACTCCACCACTCGTGAGCTCTGCACCTAGGGTGAGGGGCCAGCTGGGCAGCCCGTGCACTGCAAAAACGCACCCTGCTGGGAGGGTGGGCAAAGGCGTGATGCAGCCAGCTCTGGCCTCTAAACCTGGGGCCTGGCGGGGGTGGGGTGGCTGCTGCTGTGGCTCAGTGGGCGCCAGTTTGCCTCATGTGCCAGCAGCAGCTTCACAACAGCAGCACTGTGTCCAGAGACAGGGATCCTTGTGCCCTGCCTGTGGGAAAGTGAAATGGTGTGGCTGCTGTGGGAACAGTCAGAGGATCCTCAAAAAGGTAAACATAGAATTGCCACATGACCCAGAAATTCCACTCCTAGGTAAAAACCCAAAAGAAATGAAAATGGGAACTAACAAACATCTGAACACAAATGCTCACAGCAGCACGATTCACAGTAGGCAGAAGGTGGAGACGACAGTTTCCATCAGGAGATGAACAGATAAGCAAAGGGGCGTGTGCACACAACAGAGTAGTCCACAGCTGTCAAAAGGAAAGAGGTTCTGACACGCACCACAACACGGATGAGCCCTGGAAACACTGTGCTGAGTGAAAGAAGCAGACACAAAGGGTCCCATGATGTGTGACGTCATTTACATGAGCGGTCCTGGACACGCAAATCCAGACAGGTTGCCAGGGGCTGGGGTGGAGGGAGGTGACAGGGAGTGACTGCTAATGGGTAATGAGACTCCTTCGGGGGGATGAAAATGTTCTGGAACTAGAGAGAGGTGATGTGCACATACTGTGAATGCAGTAAATGCCACCAAATTGTACACTTTAAAAAGGTTAAAATGGTAAATTTTATGTTATGTATCTTTTGCTACAATTAAAAGAAAAAATTACATGAAGTCAGAGTTGAGATTCTGATGTGGACTGAACTGTGTCCTGCAGGTTTTATTTATTAGAAGCCTGATCCCCACTGTGACTCTCTAGGGGGTGGGAAATCCAGCTGTGGGAACTGAAAGGAGGGGCTTGGAGAGGCAACTGGGTTCTGAGGACCCCGCCCTAGTGAGTGGGTTCCTAACGGTGGTCAGGGCGTGGCTCTGGGGGCTTTCAGTGGAGGGCACCTGAGTCATTCTCCCTGTTCCCACCTTTCTCACACAGTGAGACCCTGCGTCACCACCACAGAAGATCCTCACCAGGTGTGCGTGGCTCTGGGGGCTTTCAGTGGAGGGCACCTGAGTCATTCTCCCTGTTCCCACCTTTCTTACACAGTGAGACCCTGCGTCACCACCACAGAAGACCCTCACCAGGTCGTTCCCTGGAATTGGACTTCCCAGCCTCCAAAACTGTAAGCGAAAAATTTCATTTTCTTACAAAGTACCCGGTTCCAGGTATTTTTTTTTTCCTTTTTGTCTTTTTTACTGACCGGTAACGGGATCGCAACCCTCGGTGTTGCGCCTGCACCGCGCTCAGCCAGTGAGCGGGAACCGGTCTCCACATGGGATCCGAACCCTCGGCGGGAGCGCCACCACACTCCCAAGCGACGCACTCTCCAGTGCGCCACCGGGCCGGCCCTTTTTTTTTTTTTTTTTACAAGCAACAGAAATGGACTCATACAGAGTCCAACAGATAAACCCCGACCCTGTAACCTTAACCTCTCCCTCGGTGACGACCGGTGTGGGCAGTTTTGCCGCATGAAGCCACAGTGCCCAGCACCTCCCCAGGGCTGCGTGCAGAGCGAGCAGAGCCCGCGGGGGCCATGCCT